AAATTACGTACTAAACATTTTCTTAATGCTTTATTGTAATTTCGTTTAAGCCTTTACACAGATGGCATTATTTCATCAAAATGTAGTTCCAAGTCCTACTTCATCAATATTTACAAAGTTTAAGAATTTTGGAAAAAACCAAGTGCCTCCGACGTTCTCGAACATTTACGTGAAGTGGCCTCAGAGTTAATAAAATCTGATCAGTGGGTATTTGAAGAACGTCTTTTAAGAAGGATTGTTGATGATATTTATACTAGACTTAATGAAGAATGTGAAGAAAATACTCTTACAGAGACAGATTTCTATGAAGGAGAAAAAAATTTTTTTAAATATATATCCAAATGATCCAAATGAAAATATTTTGGATGAATTAAATTGGGTATCAGCAGATAAACTAATTATTGGTGCTAGCAGATTGGATCAAAGCTTTGTCAAACCCAGTCTTGCAAAATATGAAAAGTTATTGAAAACTGCGGGGGCTGATGAAATAAGAAGACCAAACGTTTATGATTATATTCAAGTTAAACAAAAAAATGAAGATATAAACTTAAAGTCGGAAAGTCTTGTCAAATCACTTCAACAATTATTAGAAGCCGAATCTTGTAATTTACTTAATGATGTAATATTTACCATAGATCATTTTAGTTCTGAAATGCAAGAAAAGTGGAAAAATTTTGCTGAAGAATATGGTGAAATTCGTGCAAATAGATACGTGCTTGCAGCAGTTTCAAATCACTTCAAAATTGCATTTTCAAGTAGTTATAGAGATGGAGACCCATATAAAGCAGCAAGAATTCCTGCGTGTGATATTAATCCTGAATCATTTAAAATTATGTTAAGATACCTATACGCTATGCCACTTGATACGGCTATTAATCTTACAAAGTGTAATTCAGATAACTTTAATAACATTAGAAATGAAGATAATTACGGCGATTATATTGATGAAGAGATTGCTAAAGAAAAAGAAAGACAATTAACTATCCTACTAGATTTTTTGAAAGCATCGGACTATTATGCAATAGCAGACTTGAAAAAGGATACTATAGAGAAAATTATTAGTGATGGCTATGTTGAACGTCTTAACGCTGATGATATTTCTAAATATGCTAGCGAACATAATGCTAACTTGCTTGTTAACTATTGCAACAAATTTATGGAATTGAATAGTAATTTAATGTAATTCCTATTTTATTTCTTTTATCCGATATATCGCATAGTGTCTACTGTCGCAGGTCATCGCATCATTTTAATTTTTGCTAGCTTCATCTTTTAATATGATTTTGCTTTATTTCTTTCTCTTATCAATACAGTCATTTATTGTGTTTTTTTTATGTTATTGTATCTAGTATTTTTGCAAATTTTGAATAAAGAAATTTTGGTAATATCCGGTTAATATTCAAAGCTATTTTCGGACTTTACAATTAATGAGTTTCGAAAATAGTTTTAATAGGGGTTTCAGAATTAACTTATTTCGAAAATAAGTAGAATCAGAAAATTAAATAAACGTAGCCGTGATAAACTTAGATTTTGATAAACATTCACGGTAAACGATATGTAAATAAGAATGAACTATAAAATAAATAGAACTTTTTGTATGTCACTTCTTTTGCAATAAGTACATATACCGAAAATGTGTACAAGCATGTTAAAGTTCAGGTATATCCTTACAGATTCTATTCTAGTTATTTAACTAATTCAATTCTAATGTTATACCAAAAAGAGAATACACTTACTAATTTTATTCTAATTAACTATTTAATTTAATTTTAATAAAAATTATAAGTAATTTTTATTAAAGTATAATTAATTCTAATACATAAATTTATTTAATTCTAATAAATTAAAATTAATTATAATTTTAATTAGAATTAGGTATAATTATTTATTAGAGTTAGTTATAATTATTAATTAGAATTAATTAAATTTTTAATTAGAATTAGTTATAATTATTAATTAAAATTAGTTATAATTTTTAATTAGAATTAGTTATAAATTTTAATTAGAATTAATTATAAATTTTAATTGGAATTAATTATAATTTTTAATTAGAATTAATTATAATTTTTAATTAGAATTAATTATAATTTTTAATTAGAATTAATTATAATTTTTAATTAGAATTAAT